TGAGAGAAGAGGTAGTTAAATCACTGAGGCTGGGCTTTGAATGGAAAAAAAATAATTTCAGCTTAGTAACTCAACGTTCTGATGATGTGGACCGATGACTAATTGATGTTGATACAAGAAGACAAAACAAACTGTGTCAGAAGAATGGGCATGAATTTTAACTAAGACAATGACAACTTGTGGACTCTGTTTTGACTCCCGGCTGCCATCTATATTCTGGTAGAACCCCTACTGTAAGCGTATCTGAGAGGTAGGATAAATATATCGGTAGGAAACTGGTGCCCTCTTCTGTGCATAACTTCTTTCTCTTCAGTGACAAGGATAACAAACCACCCCTGGCATAGTTTGTTGTGTAGGAGTAGGGTCTAACTGGGGAACTGACAGCATGCTTGGGGAGTGCAGAAGCCAATTAATATTTACTTCTGTGTTATTCACTCTGTACCTCAAATACGTGTCTCGTCTGCACAAATCCCACACTCCCTCTCCCCTTTTTATGGTGAAAGTGTCTTTTTCCCAGGGGCACAATTTTCGTAAATACATTTTTGCCATCGTGCATTACACATTGAAACCATACCTTTTTCTCCTGAGGCTTTCTCTCTGAGCTACCTATGCAGATTGTGTAAGAAAAATTCCTGCATTAAAAAAAATAGTCGTCAAATACATTATTTTTTGCACTGAGCAATGAAGGGTTCTGTGGGGAAAAAAAAAGTGAACATGAAATAAATTACAGTACTATAATCTGCACAATGGCTAGAATTAAGCCCGCAGGGACAAAGTAAGTGTTCATTGCCCTATTTTCTGACTTTTTAATGGAAATGAGCACAGAAATGTATCTACATGTGTAGAGATACACAATCATATGGTTAGTACTCTGTGTGTAAGCATGTGTGTACTTATCATCAAAAGATTGTGCAGGAGCAGTGTCTTTTTGTTATACAGTAAGATAAAAAAACCCCCTGTGTTTTCTTAAACTCTATTACTAAGCCTATCAACATATTTTGGACTGAGAATCACTGAGGTTTAGGGAATCTCTTCTCTCAAGATCAGAGCTTAAAATTAGATTACAAGCCATATTAAGTCTGAACAGAAATGCACCTGTTCCTTTATGGCAGTGACATTTACCAAACCATCTTTGCAGTAATTGTCGAGGTTCTTAGACTCACTCATACTTTTAAAAAAAGTTTCAGTCTAATATTCCAAAGAAGGGTTTTCTCATCTGTTGAGCAGCAGAACCTGCTTAAACCCCCTCCCCCTCCCAACATAATGAAAAAATGCTTTCTTTTACAGATCACCTTACTGGAGGAGAAGTTGAAACAGTACTGCAAAGTTGCATATAAAATTAAAGTTTATCCTGGACAAGTTCATGGGTTTGCACAGCTGAAGCCAGAAGATATGAAACCTGATGATAAACCTTACATTGAAGAAGCCAGAAAGGATATGATTGATTGGATCAAAATGTTTGTTTGACAAAAGCATAAAGTAACATTAGGCTTCAAGATCAGTATTTGATTTAATTAAATCTTAGAGAAGAAAACAGTCAAGGTAAAACTACCTGGTTTTAAAAATTGTCACAAACAAAAGTACGAACATTTTAATTTATAGTTCTTAATTATTTTTTTTACAAGATTTACACAAGATTGTGAAATCAAGCTGGACTAAAGGATGATTAGGCATTAAAAGTTGACTGCATTTATCTTGCTTTGTATTTGCTTCATTATTCTGCATTAGGACATCAATAGTAATGATACTGTTTATCCATTTGTCTATGCCAGCGAGCATGACTTCATCCTGACTTTACCTGAGTAGTTTCAGGCTTTATTTTGGTATGATGATTGGTAGTCATAGGTATTAACAGGGAAACACCTTGGTTTTGCATACTTTTTTTTTTTTTTTATTAACTACAAGTATTTATCTCATATACTGCTGTGCTGAGCAGAATATCCCATGAGTGAAATAATTATTTGGCTATGTTAAGGAGTTAGGAGGGGATGGCGTTGTTAGCTGGCAACCTCCAGGTATTCCCTGGGGAATGTTAAGAAGGGCACTGCTAGTATTCCTTCATCAGCGTCAAGGGAAAACACAGCCAGTCCCTCCTGACTGCAGAAGTAACCCAGGCATGAATACTGTGGTAGCAGTGAATTTATTGTCCTGGTCCAAACTGTGGTGATCAGGCACAGGGCTGACAAACAGGTACCCCCACGCCTTGTATTGTTTGCGTTACGTTACGTGCCTTGTTCCTCTCTCAGGTTCTTCCCCTTTATCACCTTTATCTCCTCACGAGTACACAACGTACAAGCGATGCACGTCCCTGTTTACTCTTACTGCACTGGCTCCAGTTTTGCTGACCTGCTGACCCTCTTTTTTTTTTTCTTGTATTTTTTTATTTCATTGCTTTAGTGATGACTTGGCAACTTCCGTTTACTCAGAGATCCTCTAAGGGACCCATGTGCTTTTTTATTTCCTACTACATCTGTCACTTTCTCACCCTGTTGCCTTGTTAGTGTAGTCATAAACCAAGGCTAGCTATCCACATGGATATTATTTTACCTTTGATATCAGGAATGTCTGACAGTTTCACACATTGCTGTCCTATCACTGTAACCATAGGGTCATGGTATGCCACACCTCAACCGAGTATGTTAAACAATCCTGCTGTGAGGAGGGAAGACACAAAGTCAGGGGCACGGTACAAGCTGCTGTGTGTTGCCCAGCTCCCTGGTCTGCCTGTCGGCATCTGTCAGCATCTGGGACGCTGGGCGAGGTGACTTGTGGAGGCACCTTCAAAGTCAAACCTCCCCTGACCCCCAGAATGCCCATGCCGACCTGATGCTTTCTGCGTGATCACCCCAGTTGGTGTCAGCCCATGTCCCCAGACGCCATCCAGGTCACTCGCTGGGTCTCGTGTAGCCAATCCCGCAGCGTCCCCGCGTACCCCAAGGAGCGCCCCAGGCCCTTGACACCACTCCTGTCCCTGTGTGCCTTCGTGACCTCAGAAAAAGCCTCCAAATACCATGAGTTTGTGGAGGCGGCACCATACGTAACGTCGGTTTTGTAGGAGAGGAGGGGGGAGCATGACGAAGCTTGTGCTAATTGGGAAAATACAGATTTGAGGGAGCTGGGAAAGCAGTGTCTCTGCTGTAGCTTGTCCCCAGCTGAAAAATACCAGTTGCATTGCTGGGGTTAAAAACCTGTTTGAAGCGGGCTAGAAATTGGATGTTTTCTCCCATTTGTTTTCCCCAGTACTGCATCGCGGCTTAAAAATAAGCCTGCCTGTGCCCTCCTCCAACTGCTCAATGCAGGGCTGGCGCAGGGGGTCTCCAGCCATGCTGGGGGTCCAGGCTCTCCTGCCGCTCACAGCGCGTGGCCACGGCTGCTGGGGCCCCTGATAAATTGTTCCCAGGCTTGGCTGGTTGACCTTGGTGGCGGTGGATGCCCTGATCTCATCCCTGTTCATCCCTCTCTGCCCTCATCGCCCATCCCCAGTGTGCAGGTATGGAGTGTGCAGGAAGTGCGTTAGCTTTCTTCCAGATCTTTAAAAGCCGTCTTGAGGCAGGATTCCTCACAGCTGGGGGAAGGGGAGGACGGTTTCCCTCGGGAGAAATAAAGGAGGTGTTTTCTGCGCTTGGTTGCTGGCTGCTCAGCTCAGACGTAGCTCTGTTTTAGGCAGGACCTGATGCAGGTCGCTATCATCTCTAGCTTTTCAGCACTGCTTTAGAAGCACTGTGGTTCACAGCTTCGAAGCCATCCTCTCTCCAGGAAATGTCCACAAGATGGGGCCCCTCTCCTTGACTGTCATGAAGGCTTTTAGGGAGCTTGGTCATAATTACGATAATTGACGGTCTGAATGGTGCCTGTCAAATCCTGCAGTAATGGCACACCGCTGTCGGAGGAAACCTGGCTTCCTCGTCAGCGGGATGCTGTAGCGAGCAAAGCTGCTGAATGTTGTCTGTGTGCAACAAGCCACTGCAGCTTGCTGGACTACGATGTGAGGTGGAATGTCACCTCCTCCGTGGGACTCTGGAATTACTCAGAGGGAACCCAGACTGTGATACAACATCGTCACACCCTGCGTTTTATTTTGCGCTACTGAATGTTTATCAGTTTATCTCCTGTTCATGGCAAAATCAGATTGCCTTGGGATATCATTACAACTTGATAAGCCAATGAGTTGGAAGAAGCATGATTTGAATTGTACCCTGAGGGTATTCTGTTTACGCTTGCTCACCATGAGTAAGGTCTTTTTTCTCACGTGAATATATACAAATAGAGGTATACTGAGCTGCTTAAAGGAATTCTTCTGAGCACTTTCAGTTCAGATTACATAGTGTGTAACTCTCAGAGAAAACCCTCTGCTGATTTACCTTCTGAGATGCCAGTTCATGATGGGTTCCCTGGGAAAGGGCTGTACACAGCAGAGGATACAAGGGACCAGCAAAGTGCATGTAGGCAGCAGTAGCAGCCTTGCATTCCCCATGGAGGAAGGGAAAGGGGACATGCACAATGAAAACTTGCAGGGAAAAAAGTAGTCAGAAAAGCAGCATGCTGAAAGTGGGATCTCACAGGAGTAACAGCAAGAGGTTGCCAGTTGCCAGCCTGTGAGGAGAAGTAGCTGTAAGACCACAAGAGGGATGGTTATGAAGCACAGTGTGTGGGGACATCACATGGAAATGTAGTTACCACATGCTGGATTGCTCCAGGCACAAAGCTAGGAATGGTGGACTGACACAAGCCCTTCTGCTGGCCTTACTGTGCTCCTGGGTTATGCTGACTGACCTGGATTTTATGAATGTTTGTAGCAACCAGAGAGGGCTGGTGTCAAGAGCCTGTTGACAATAAACACCTGGAGCTTTCACTTCTGACCTTGCAGTATCAAGTGGGTGTTCCTAGGTGTCTGGACGGGACTGTGGGGACTGCATCAAGACTATGACCTGTAATAACAATTGTTGCTGCAAAAAAATTATATTACTGTTTGTCCTTTTTGCTTTCCTGCAGGTTCCTAGATGGCTAATGAATCGAGGCCCTGCCCATGTGATATTGGAGACAGGTCTGACTATGAGGATTGTGGGCAGGAAGTCCAAGCTGAGCACGTCCAGGCGTGCGTTTGCAAACCGCCTGCCAGCACAGACAGAGCTGTGATTGTGAGTCATGGTGTATTTGGATGGCAGCTCCCAAACACCAGATACATGGCTGATATGCTTGCGGCTAGTGGATACGTGTAAGAAATCTTTTCTTCTCCAAGAAATCCCACTCTTTATGATTTCTAGCCTATGTTAGAACTGTTATTCCCATACATGGGAGGAAACTGTTACCAGGGCAACTTGAGTGATATATTTCCATAATGGCAAACCACAAGGGAACATTGCTGTGAAATGTTGCAGAGTACTGCATGTTTCCTTCATGCTTTGCTGTTTACAGAAGGAGTCACTGCACACACAGAATGCATAGAATATTGAAAACACGGTGTGGTAAAAACTGATTCTGATACATTTCCCAGCAATGTGAGATGGCTTTAGAAAGCAGTGTGTTCTGAAACAGAAGTGTGTTTTCTGTTTTTAGAAGTCTTTTAAAAGTAAACTGTCATTGAAGCTAAATTATGTGATGGGATTTAAAAAAAAAGTCATCAGCAGAAATATGACCGAATGTCATATATTTTGAATATGATATGAAATATGCGCATTGAATATGTGTGTGTGAATGACTCATATGCGCACATTAAAGACAATCCCCTTCCCCCCTGCAAATCTTTCACGCTTATTTTCAGTGCCCTGCAGGTGTAAAGTTCCAAAATGCAGCAACGTCTTGCAATAACTGGGGATGCTGGAAGGTACCCCATTTGCAGCATACACTGCAAACACTCATACAGGGTTGGGTCTGGCCTGCAGTCCCAAAAAGCAAACCTCCACCTAATTCTGTAGTGGTCTGGTTTTGAGAGATGGTGCCTTTAATGCTCTCAGCCTGTGGAGCAAGAGGGAAGTCAGATGTCAGCAGACAGTTGCCATGTGGCTGAGATCTGTCTGTGGAGCTGAAAGGAGCTCTGGGTCTCTGAGAGATAAAGATACTACCTTTGTGACGGTCGGTGTTTTCCAATACACCGGAACAAAGAACTGGTCTAGATCTGCTGCTTGCTACTGTCTTTCCTGAGGACTTGACATCACCTGTTCTGCTCCATGATTGGAAATATGTTTGCCTTGTGACCAAATGCAATCATTTTCAACTTGAGATTGGATGTACACCTTTCACGCTGGGTAGGATACTTGCAGATCAGTAATATGACAGCATGCTTCCTTATTACGGTACGAGTCCCCTCAGTCAGAAGTACTCAGTGTCTGATGAATTGGTATTTCTCCACACTACCTTGCTTCCTGTAATTTTCCCCCATGATTCACACCATGTCGTACTTCTTTTTGTAATACCTTCTTTCCCTCCACCTCTACCGCTGATACTGTAGTGGTCAAGGGAAGAAGGCTGGTGTTTCCATTGCTCTAGGCAGGAGGAGAGCTGAGAGTTCCCAGGCAGCAGTGTCTGAATGGAGAGGCGGTTTGTTTTCCCTGATTGCTTCAAGATGCTGCTGAACTGGTGCACCAATGTTCATTGAGAGGGAAATCACTGGATTTTCTCCTAGTGCTGTATGGGATGAGGAGCTGTGAGGGCTGTACTTCAGAGACCACATGAAGACTGGTGGCTTGTGGTGTCCTATCAGGCTAGTATGAGTGGGGAAGAACCTGTCCTGCATGGGCTTGGGAAGGTTCGCTTTCAAAGCAATACGTAGCCTTTCTGACAGGTACTTGTTCAATGGCTGTGCAATTTTGTCCATACTTACCCAAACACAAGTATGCTGTGACTGTCACTGTTTTTTTCTCAGAAATCATCAAACACAGTTGAAAAAAAAAAATTCTTGCAGCATACTTTGGCCTGCTTTAGGCCAAACTGATCCAGTCATTTCACCATGATTGTAGAGACATGTACTGCGTGTCTGAGGAGACAGAGACCCAAAAGCATTTAGTAAGTGACAGATGATAGCGGTTTCCCAGGGATCCCATTGCTTCCGTGTGGGCTGGGCTTGGGAGAAGCAGCATCTGGGGGTGATCGAGTGATGGCAGCCTCCAGAGTAGTTGCTTGTTCCCTGCTGCATGAGGAGGCTGAATTATCCACTAGTGACTGCAGCATCACAACTCTGCTGCTGGTCACGCAACACATTGCAGCCAGGGTCATCCCGAGCCGGGGTTTGGGCACCCCTGTGATGCAAGAACTCTGTAGTGCTGAGTGGACTCTTACTGTACTTCCCTCTTTCTAGTGACCAAAAGATGTCAGCAGTAAAACACTCCTCCCTTTCTTCCCACACGTTTTCCCTTCACTTGTTCTTTGCTGACCTCAGTCCATCAGTTTTGTTTTTATTGCTAGCTCACAAGCAAGCCTCATGATGTGCTCTGTAGTAAATAACTATTTTGTATTATTGTCTTTGTTTAAATGGAACCCATTAATGATGGATATATGCTAAATGGTATTATGTTGTATGCAAAATCTTCCTGTTATAATCAGGACCTAGTATGACCATCTTTTACCAGATAATATTTTGTTTTACTGTGTACAGTTCAAATTATGTACCTAAAACATGCAAAATAATAGGGATAAAAATATTAATATTTTCCAGATTTGTGTCACAAATTATATTATGTGGTTTACTCATTGAAAAAGGCCTGTGTAGATACCTAAAAATGTTTTCTAAGGCTTGTAGGCATTTCTGTGGAATAGTTAACAATGATATTTAAAAACAATACTTTCTCAGGAAAAAAGAAATCAAAACAAGATTATGCCTGGATATAAACTTTCCTTTGCTATGAAGGGCCAAAAAACTCTGAGCATTTGATTAATTCATTCAAATTTGTTTTTTTGGTGTGTGTTTGTCTGTGTGTGCAGAGCCATCTGCCCATACTTTTTTGCAGGAAGAGGAGCTTGGAAGCCTTCTGATGACTGGTCAAAGTTCAATGACTGGCTGAAAACTCCAGATGCCAGGAAAATAAACAAGTAAGTTGTCAGGGAGCTAGATATCATATTACCTGCTGCTGTCAGAGATTGTTTGGCTTTTTTTCTCCCCCTTTTTTTTTTCCTTTGAGATTGCATGCAGCTAATCTGCCAGCGAAGGTGGCCTTTTTTAATGACTCCTTAGAAGTAGATGGAATCAATGACCTTGTATTTTGCCTTGAACAGAGTTCAAGGACAACTCTCTTAGTAGTGGGTGAGAGTTTTGTCATCTGATATTGATATCATAGACTACTAATTTCTTCCTCTGCCTCAAAAAGCATAATTTCAAAATGACCAGGGACACAGGCAGTGAGAAAACGTAATTCTCATCCTGAGTCCTGCCACGTGTAACAGACTGATACTTTAAGGTTTTCTATGGAAAGAAGAGTTTTTGATTGCACCATTGAAGTTGCCCAGCATGGTGTAACTGGCCCCAGGTGGCCGATGGCTGGATGGTTTACTGTCAGGGCGCAGTGAGGGCCGGTGGCTCCCTTGGGGACAGGGTGCTGGGGCCGAGAGGGGTAACACCGCTGGCAGTGCCAGGGACCTGTCCCGCAGCACTCCAGAAAGATGGGCAGGGCAGGCACCAGGAGGGCAGCCAGCATCGACTGAGGCAAGTCCGAGGTCAAACTGGAAGTGAGGAAGATGGGGTCAGGTCTGGAGACGTTAACTGGTATCAATTGGAGTCCCGTGATCACCAGGCAGGTCTGCAGGGATGTGGCAGGGCTGAGGCCAAGCCGGGAAGTCAGTCTGTGGGTCCGTGATCTGGACAGCGGTCTGGATCAGCAGGGCCCATGGCCAGGTGCAGGCATGGCTTCGACAGCACGGGAGCTGTAGCTCAAGCAAGGCCGAGTGGCAGAGCCTTGTCTTAAAAGCAGCTCCCGTGGAGACAGGAGTTGTCAGCCCCTGCTGAGGCTGCCCCACAGCGTGGTCTGGGAGCCTCTCCTCGTGGTCACTAGAGGGAATGGAGCAGCCCTCACCTGTGCTGTGTCTCAGGTGACCCTGGGTAAAGTTTGTGGTGAATTGAACTCATGGTGTGTTGGCTGCCTTGAAAAAAATCCGCTAGCTTTGGACAACATGAGGTAAGAGTCCCCTGTGAGCACATTAGTTATATTAGGAGACCTAATATATGCTTACAAATATCTGAAGGGTGGGTGTCAGGAGGATGGGGCCAAGCTCTTTTCAGTGGTGCCCAGCGACAGGACAAGGGGCAATGGGCACAAACTGAAGCACAGGAAGTTCCGTCTGAACATGAGGAAGAACTTCGTCCCTCTGAGGGTGATGGAGCACTGGAACAGGCTGCCTGGGGAGGTTGTGGAGTCTCCTTCTCTGGAGATATTCAAGACCCGCCTGGACAAGGTCCTGTGCAGCCTGCTGTAGGTGACCCTGCTTCGGCAGGAGGGTTGGACTAGATGATCCACAGAGGTCCATTCCAGCCCCTACCATTCTGTGATTCTGTGACTGCACAGCTACGTAGCAGTGGGAGAGTAAGGCTGTTCGTTGCTACAACCTTAGAATTAAGCTATTGGCTTAGCAAAGGCCAAGGGAAAGGTAGATGCCTGTGCTTACATGCAGACTATATGCTCCCGTAATTAGTTGGATCAAAGGCATCTTTATTAGCTCCTAAAAATGTTCTCCTGGCACCACTGCTGAAGAAACTCTGTTGGTTCCAGTTCTGTCCAGGTGTAACTGCACCCCTTTTCCTGCATTTTAGGACAACTGACTGACAGCTGAATTGTATTCAGCAGCATTGACGTTTTCTTGATCGCTCAGATTTTCTGGATGCACATCAGTCCAGTTACATTAGAATGTCCTTTCATTTCTTTAACTCAATTTCCTTCTAATAACGTAGTCTGTAATACCTATTTTAGATTTCTCTTACAGATTTTGAAATGGACTTTACTGGTGTCTTTCTGAACTGTAGCAGTGTTTGCCAGCTCCACTTGTTTTGCTCTTTCCTGAGAGAATCTAACAGGTAGCTTAAGGGCTTTTTCCTCTGCCTCAAAGGCAGACCATGTGGTCCAAATTATCCTGTCCTCTCGCAGCAGCAACACACCACCTCTGGAGAGAAATTGGACTGATTTCTTCAACACACTGATAACACCTTGGGAGTCTTTGGTTATTGCATGTGTTCTAGGCAGACTGATAGAAAACTCTGTGACTAGGAGGGACACTGATAGACAGTTTCCCAAATTTGACTCAAAACAAAACGACGAACTGTTTGAAGGGAGGAGGAACAATGACAGCTGGAACAGCTAATAAATAGGCAAGTATCAACTGCTGCTCTTCATTGAAAAGGTTTTACTACTATTTGTAGACCAGGTGTGTTCTTGGGCTTTTCCACTCAGGCTGCTACAGGATGCCAAGGTCCTTTGCCAAGCAACGGTGTTTTCTTCTCTGTAACTTGGAGTAGAATCTTCTGGCTTCTAAATCCTGGTGTAGGGGTAGTGCCCTGCAGCCATTTGGCTGTTTGTGTGATAAATGACCCTCATGTTCTCAGTGAAGAAGCGTGCATAGGGACCATTGAGAAACAGAAGCCAATGCTCCACATGTGAAGCAGCCCTTTAGGAACACAGCTCAGGCAGTGACCTGTGGCCTGTTGTGGCTTCGAGTTAGCATTGAATTGAAGCTGTTGGTTAATTTTAGCATGCTAATGTTAGCAAGTCAAGTCTTCTGTTGTTTTAGTCCTGCCCCTGATGGGTTCATATCTTCCCCTCCCCTGTGCAACACTGCCCAAGCACTTATCAGCAAAGACATGTCACTGGCAGAGGTGCTCTGCTGCCTTAATAACACAGAAGTAAGCTGTTGGCAAGACAATACTGAGAAGGTGTCAGACTAATTAGAGACCAAACTAATTAACTTCCTGGGAGAGCAGATATCTTTCTTGGACTGTTGGCAGTAGCTATGTTGAAGGTAGCCAGGCTTAGGTATTTGGTGAGAAGGTTGTGGGAGACATACCTGAACCATTTCCAGAGAGCTCCTGTCTCAGAGGGGTCAGTTGTCCTGGAAACTTTGTAGTTTGGAATCTGTCTCCTCTCTGCTGCAATGGGAAGGAAGGGTTGGGCTCTGCCTGGCATTTCTTACAGGCAATCTACGTTTCAAGTGTCAGCTCCAATAAGAAAGAATTTTCTGGCACTTAATTTGCTTCCGTGTGTGTTTGTGTGTTGGCAAATCATGTGGTATTTGTGAGGCTGATGTATCAACGGCATATATAGCTTGTGTGCCCAGGAAAAAGAACTGGGGCTGAAAATACAGTCTTGAGGTGATATAAAAGACTTAACTGCTACTTGTTTCCCAGCAATACTTTCTATTTACTGCCTCTGCATGGTGACACCTGCTGCAAGGTAAATGGGTGTTTTCAGAATACAGCATCTGGACAAGGTGTATTTCAAGCTATACTGTAAATTCTGAAAACATCTACCATGTTTGTTACCTTGACTTTCCTGCAGCGTATATCTCAGACGCTAACTTACAATTACTGTCATCATTTTGACCGTCTAATGAATAGTATTCTCTAGAGAGGTTTTTATTACTTTCTCCATCTATATTTGCAAAGCAAAAATTCTTCCAGCTTCTCAGAGAATTTTAAGCTTTTTAAACTCTTAGGTAGGTGTTTAATCACTCACCTACTTTCCACCCCTTTAGGTTTCCTAAGTACGTGAAAGAAAATATAATAGCAGCATAATATGGGGACACTTATATGCATCTCTACGTTTTCTTTCAATATCTTCAAATACTGGTTTTACTGTGGGTGCTTAATTTGCATTTGCTTATATGTTCCAGAGAAGCTGATGCTGTCTTGAAATATCTAAAGCAACAGTGTGGTGCAAAGAAATTAGGGGTTATTGGTTTTTGCTGGGGTGGTATTGCTGTACGTCACCTGATGATGCATATCCAGAGCTGAAGGCTGGTGTATCTCTCTATGGTAGGTAAATACAAGGATGTAATACAAGCAAGTACACATGCATATGTATATTGTGTAGCTTAAGTACTTGATTTGGCATTATTTCTTCAAATCAGGCTGCCAGCTGGTGAAGAGAGATATTTTGCATGGGAATGGTTCAAAGCTGCATCAAGGGTGGTTTAGGCTGGACATTAGGAAGTATTTCTTTACCAAGAGGGTGGTCAAACCTAGGAACAGGCTTCCTAGAGAGGCGATCAATGCCCCAAGCCTGTCAGTGTTTGAGACGCATCTGCATAATGCCCTTAACAACAGGCTTTAACTTTTGGTCAGCGCTGCATTGGTCAGGCAGTCGAACTGGATGATTGCTGGAGGTCTCTTCCCTCCTTCCCTTCCCTTCCCTTCCCTTCCCTTCCCTTCCCATCCCAGCACCGTGCGTATTTCCCTTCCCTTCCCATTTCCCTTCCCATTTCCCTTCCC